AGCTGTTAATAGAGCTTCTCCCCATAGATTTGTTGATAGTTTAGCATGCATAAGCGTAGCATTAATCATATCTACCAATGTTCTATTCTTTCTTTCAGCCAAAGCATTTTGTTGTGGAGTATAAGGTGTACTCGTTTGATGAATCAAACCATTTTCTTCACAAAAAACAGTAAATTTAATTGGAAAATATTCACCACCTCGATCACTTCGTAGGATTTTAATTTTCTTTTCCAATTGATTTTCAACCAAGGTTTTATAACATTAAACATATCAAATGCTTGATCTTTAGTTCTCATTAAATAAACATGAGTGAACCTAGAATGATTATCAATGAAAGTAATAAAATATATATTTCCTCCTCTAGTTGAATGACCATTTAATTCACATATATCAGAATGCACAAGTTCAAGTGTTTTAGTTGTTCTTTCATTCTTTGGAAAAGGTTTCTTAGTCATTTTTGCTTGTATGCATATTTCACATTTTCCAAAATTTTCATTTGTACATGGAATTAAACCATGCCTAGACATATACTTAATTGATCCATAATTAACATGTGATAAACGAGCATGCCATAAATTAAAAGGATATTCAAGAATATAAACAACAACATCAACTTTATTAATGCTCAACTTAAACATGTCATCACATGAATACCCTTGTCCAACAAAGACACCATTCTTAGAAAATATAATTTTTTCTGCCTCTAAGACAGCCTTCAAGCCCTTCTTACACAACAAACTTGCAAATATCAGATTCTTTCTTACATCAGGAACATGAAATACATTCATTAAGATTAGTTTCTTTCCAGAGGTAAACTGTCGTTCAACAGTCCCTTTTCCATGCACCTTGGCAGTATCATGATTCCCCATCATAACACTTTCATCCTTTGATGCAACTTCATAGTTCTTGAACAAATTTTTGTCATTACAAATATGCACTGTCGCACCAGAATCATACCACCAACCTGCAGTCTTGTCAGTTGTTGTCATGTTGCATTCTGTAATCATGTTGATTTTTAGTTTAGCAATCATGGCTATAATTTCAGAAGGACTTGGAGGACGTTCAACAATATTTGCCTTCTTTTGTCCAACGTTTGCCTCTGTCTTCAATTTCTTATAGAACCTGCACTATTTCTTGAAATGGTCATTCTTGCCACAGAAAAAACATGTCTTGTTCTTCTTAAAGTTGGCAGAATTATTACTTGAAGATTCAATATACTTCCTTTTATTTCCAAAAGTATTACCAGTCTTTGTTGATTTCTTCATATTAGACTCAATATTGTTTACTTTAGAACCAAACTTTAAAGCATTTTTATTCTCACGACTGCGAGTTTCTTCTTCTATTCGGATATACTTCATGAGTTGGTCTATGGTAAAATCTTCAGAAGTGTACAACAATTTCTTTCGATAATCATTCCAAGTAGTAGGCAATTTTGCAATTACCGCAGCCACTTGAAGTTGTTCAGACACTTCTATTTTAAAAATCCTTGAGTCTAGATACTAGGATAAACAATTCATCTACTTGTTCCATGACAGATTTATTATCAAACATTTTGAATTCAAAAAATTTCATACCGAGAAATTTGTCCGTACCTTGCTTAACAGATGTATATTTCTTCTCCAAGGCACTCCAGATTTCTTGTGGGGATTTGATTGAACGAAACAGATCGTATAATCGATCAGACAGTGAATTCAGAATATAGCCTCTGCAATGAACTTCATCCTCCATGCGTTTCTTGCGAGTTGCGATAGTTTCTTCATCTTCTTTGTCAGATGGTTCAGGAATAGTTGGCAGATTTCCACTTAGCAGATACGCAACACCCAATTCAGTAAGCAAGAAAAATAATTTATCCTTCTAGCGTGTGAAGTTCGTTCCATCAAAACGATCCAACTTGAACACTTCGGGATTGAACTTGAAAACAGAATTTGAACCAGTAACCGAACTAGTAGCCTCCATTGTTGTTTAATTTCCTTAAAATTGTTAGCAAAATAGGATTTCACCAAATTAGAAGGCTTTGATCGTGTATTCACTGTTCTTAAGGAAATTATGCCCCCACTATGTTGTTGCTGGGTTTATGGCAGATTCCTCTAGGATTAACAAAGCCAAACAGAATTTTAAATAGCAAACTCTGAAATTCTCTCAAGAATAGTATAGAGAAATGTTTGTTTTGTATATGTTTTTTTTTAATTTGAAAGATCTGTATAGGTATTTATAATATCTTAGTGAGGAGACACAACTTTTGGGCCAAAGAGATGTAAAAAGGAAATACAACTCTTGGGTAAAAAGAGATGTATAGAGGAGACACAACTCTTTGACCAAAAGACATTTAACAATTAATTAATACAAAATTAATTAATTATTTAAAGGTTTCAAGCCCAAGATGCCCAAAGTGCCCATCTTTTGACTTTAAAGATTATTTTATTTAAAGTCTAATCAAGGCCCATTGATTTGAAATATTTAGAGTTTCCCTTCAAATCTTCCCACCATCCAAATTTATAAAAGTTGGTGTGTTGCTCCTTTTAAACCCTTACATTCCCTTTCAACTTTTCCAATGTGAGATTCTTTACATTACTAACTATCAAGTTGTTATGTCAATGAATCGAATTTTGATATAAATCTTATCCGAATTTGAATTTAGTTAATCAAATATTTATACAATAAAATAACTAGATTTTTTTTTTTCGCGACTCAAATCATTTTGATTCGATGATGTTAATTAGACTTTCATTATTTTTGCAACTCTAAATTTTTCATCCCTCATATAACTCTCTTTATCTATCTATCTTTCAATCTTATACTCTCTTTCTCTCATACTATTATCTTTTTTCTTTTATGTGTTATTTTTGTTTTTATTTACTCCATAAAACTGATGAAACTACATGTCATACAATTATTTATTCCATAAAATTAATTCAAAGTTTTTATAAATCTGATGATATATATTTTGTCACATGCTTCTTAATTTGTAAATAACACTTATTGTAAATAAAAAATATCACATTGACTATAAATACCAAATAATATTTAACACAAAATAATCATTAGATTGTAAATTAATATATATTTTTATCAAAAATTGACACTTAATTTTATCCAATTTATATTCAATTTTGTCGATGTAATATCAAATTAATTTTAAAAATTTATTTAATGAATTTTTTGGAGTACTAAATTATATCAATTGTTTGAGTATTAAATCAAATTTTATTTGATTTTATTAAATTTTTATTTTTTGGTACTAAATTTGGAAAAGGGTAAATGTATAAATAATAAAGTTTTTCAGGATGAAATTATCAATTTTCGGTAACAACATTGACAAAAGGGAGACAGAGGGGATCTCCGTACAATGAATAACAAACATCAGGTGGTCTCCGTGTTATTTATAAAATATCAAAAGATGTTCGTATAATATTGCAAAAACTCAGTGGATATCCGTGATTTTCACCCCTGTTTTTTAATTAAACATTAATTTATTATTATGTTACCTTAAAAACTTGAATTATTATATATCTAATAAAAGTAATTATTGGTTAGGAGGGTTTGTTGGTAACCAAAAAAGAAATGTGTGTGGGTGTATTTCTGTGTATGTTTATATGTAGAGAATTGGACATTTGGTGATTAAATTTATAAATATATTGTGTCATTTGAGGTTGAATAGTGATAATGGTGATAAATTCATGAGTTTTATAAATGAGTAAAATTTGGTCAATTTTATTTATCACTTAAAGATTGTGAATGTAATTATTTTTTGTTAGTATTTTATTTTTGTTTGATGTATTTATTACATGAGGATATGATGAATTAAAAATATGGTGGTTGAGTTGATAATTATGCTGTGTTACTGGATAGAGTGGTAGTAGAAGTGATAAATTCATGAGTTTTATAAATGAACAAGATTTTATTTATTTAATTTATTGTTTAAAAATTGTAAATTTCAATGGATTATGTTAGTATTTTTTTTCCTATAACTATTTTTATATATGATATCGTTTTGAGGAGTTTTTATATATGTTTATAATAGTTTCATTTATATAGAGGACGTGATCCACGATATATTTCGAGCCATTTTAAAAGAAAAGTTTTTATGAATATATTTACGTAAATATATATACCGATTATGATTCAATACGGGTTATATATATAAATAAATAAATAAATAAAAACTATGGTGAAATTATTCGATGGCATTAAAATTCATATGTAATCCGTTAAAATTCATCAAATTTTGTATGGGATTTTTGAATTCTAATAGATTTGGATAGAGATTGTGAAAAACAAAAGCCATTGGGTATTCGCTTTGGGTTTGAACAAAGATTTTAGATCGGTTCTAGTTTATATCACACAAAATTGGATTGAAAATCGATGCATTGACTGGCCTGGGAAGAAGTAACCTAAACAGTAGTACATCTCATAAGTAGATCAATGCATTGACTGGCCTGCTGCACTTAAACTCTCTTTCTGACAACTATCTTGAAAAACTTTCTAACATTTTTCTAGTTTTCTCGAAAGGCTAAAGATTGCTTCTTTTTCGTTTGATAATTTTTTTCAAAGTTGTTAGATATTACTCTGGATATAGGCATCTCAAGCACTTTTAAAGTCCAAAACAAGGACGGAATCAAGATTTTTGTTTATCCCGAACTAAGCTAAACATTCACAGCTACCTGAGATACAATCCCACCATCAAATACAAGAAAAAAAAACCTCTCCAATCAAAATTGAGAACTTTTCAAGGCAAAGTTTTCACCTTTTAAACTTAACTCCATTAAATGGTTTTCAAGAAAGTCAAACAAAACTAAGCATTCCAGATTGTTGGTGACACATTCATAAACAAAAACTTTCGCTGAAAACTCAAAGTGTAAATCAGTCAAATAAAATTTCATTTTCAGCCTAATTAACTATAACCCATTACTAATGGGCCATTAGGGTTATGCTACAATAAACAGATCAAAATCACCATTTAGAATCAAAATTCCAAAAGAAAATTACAGACCGCAGCAACAATGGCTGGAGTAGCTGCAATGTGTGGAGGAGATGGAGCACCCTTTTTGGCTCTAAAGCTCTATTCCTCTTTATTATATGTACCTTCCATCGCAGTTTTAATGGTGATGAACAAGATTCAACCGTCTTAGAACGAGGTAAATATACTTTCGACCTTAGAAGATGCTCTGGCACCTCTGCAATTGTTAAACTCTCATATGAGGCATGTGTAATTTACCCACATACAAAAGATTCACTCAATCAAAGCAATACGTCTGGAACAAATAAAGATGAATCAAAATAGATTTCTCCATATCGTCAAACCCTAAACCTTTACTCTACACAAGGAACTGAAAAATGTTACGTAAAGACAAAAAACAAAAATAATCTGAATTGATCTACCAAAAACAACGAATAGATAGAAATTAACACCCAAGATTTAAAATATAACAATCAAAGACTGATCAGATAACAAACAAAATCATAAAAAAAAAATATCGACTGTGTATTGACAGAGAAAGACATACCAGAGCAAGTCTTTTGGGTGGTGAGCTTGTAAATCAAGACGACGATCCCGGCGACATGAATAGCTTCAAAGGCAACGAAGAAATGGGTGTAATCTTCGACCAGAAGTCTGAGGGACTCTCAGCTAGCAGAAGAACAAAGAAACGCTTCGAGGTTCTGTCTCTAGATAGAGCATACCCACTTCCTTTGCTGGGTACAATGCTCAATCAATAAGTTTCCTAAAAAAGTAGAGTCTGCTGTGTGGTGGCCAAAACATATGGAGGAGCGTGAAAAACAAAGGAGGCCTGTTGGGAGGGTGGGCAAGGAGCGTCAAACCACCATCGCCCAAATCAAACCACCTAGAAACCAGGGTGTTTGCACTGAGGGACTTGCTGACGCCGCCTGTCCGGGGATTTGGGAAAGTGATTTGCCGCTTGTGTGTTGCCATGGAGCCGTTGCTTGTCCGGAGATTTGGGGAAGACTCGCCTAAGAGAGAAAAGACAGGACATGAGGGAAGTGACTGACAGAAACCGACCGATTTTTGGGATTTGCAGGTGGGCTGGGTTGGGTTAGTTGGGTTGGATGGAATTTTTTTTTTTTTTTTTTTTTTTTTTTGGGGTGGGGTGGGGTGGGGGGGGGGGGGGGGCTGGTTCTTAGTAGTAAATTTTTATTTTATTTTTACTATGGGCTTCTGCCCACCTAAGCCCCCTAATAGATCCGTCCTTGGTCCAGGATCTGTTCAAGTTTCACTCAAATTCCATTGACATGCCGCTTGTTAACTCAAGGGTGAGTTCTTTTAAAGAGGAAATGACTGACGTAGAATAAGTTACAATAGATTCTTCAAAAAAACAGGATTAGTTGCCCACGTTTTAGTGATATATGAGTTGCTGGTTAGTATTATTTTGTGGGTGTTTTGTCATTCACAAAAAAAAAAAATAATTTATGTAAAAAAACGTTTTATACGAAGTACTTTTACACAATTAAGTAAATTTTTAAGTACCGGCCTTCAAAAAAACAGTCATACCCAATCACTTCAAAGTTACAAGTAAATAAGTAGTTCCAAAGTCGTGCTTGCTACAATAAATCACTTTCCTTTACACTCCTCCATTGAAATATTTGGTCAAGTGAGAATGAAACAAGTGGCAGACATTGTAATATTGTATAGAGTGGCAGCAGCAAAACATGGAGCCTATTATTGATTTATTGTAGACACTGGCATAGAATTTTGTAGACCTAAGAAAACACACAAGGACTACGCTTTTCAATTTTGAACAAGAGAACACAAAAGGACAATCCTTCTGTATTTTCACCAAGTTCATTATACAGGTACGATTTTGGAGTCTCGTTTCGATCTACACACCAGGGAGATCGAAACGAGAATATAGTACCTGGAAATCAGAAAGTTGATCTTTCGTAATTTAGTGATTAAGGTAGGCATGACAAGAATGTTATTGTGCTCTTGCAGCTTTTGAACAGAGGCAAATAACCTGTTATTACCAGTAGAACTCTACAATAAAATGGGCTGGAGAAGTTGCATAAGTCCACAATTCCTTCGGCCAGAAAGGAGATGAAAATGACACTAGCAGCTATCAGGTTCTTTACTACAAGTATCAAAACAAAGACCACAAACAATCCAAGGCCATGGATTTTTTTTTCCCGGAAAGTAACGCCATGGATTTCAAGTGACAGAAACTAAGAGATTAGAGAAATTCAAGAAACAAAATTACAAATCAAGAAGGGGTGTTGGTAAGTAATTTGTCATTTTTGTGGAAGTAACTTTGTAAGAGAATGCAAGAGACTTTGCTTCTAGAAGAACAATTCATGATCTCATCAAAACCCAAAATGCAAGTCAGGGAATAAGTAGCAGCAGCGCAGACAGTTTTCTGCAAATATTCCTTTGTTCAAAACTTCGGCTTTAAAAATATGCAGCAATTCTATAAAATTCCAGCAGACTTTTTCCTCTAATAGCCTAGTTTCTCTTCAGCAAAACCATTCACTCCTCTTTTGTACCCAAAAGTGTATGTGCATATGTTTGACTCAAAGCTGCAATTATATTTGTGCGCAATCAGAATAGCAGAAGGGGCAAAGTTTGTTCTATTCTCTTTGGAAAGTGGTTTGTTTTATTTTCAACAAAATGAAAAAGAAAAATATGTATAGATACATTAGTACTGCATATACACTAAGAACATAAAATAATGAATTCTCACATTTATCTAAAGCTGAACATGGACGGACTTTCGGAGAATGGGACTATCATGCTTGCCTTGTACGCTGCCAAGTGCCATGATAAAATACCCAGCAAAACTAGTCTAATACAACTAATATGAATAGAGGTTAAGCTTGACATGTATGACCTAACACCACAATCCATCTCAGGCTGCTCTCTCCCTCCCAGAGAGAGCTTCCGTGATGAATCTGTGTATTCTTTTCACTAAACTTTCATGCCCTCTTGGACCCATCCCTCGGTGGTAATTTTCACAATATGCTTTCAGGGGCCAGCTTGGCAACCTAAAAAACTAAAGTGGCATTGCTTGAGTTAAAGTCCCAACTACCTACAGATGCTCGTTAGGTGGGGGCCTGTTGGAATGATTCTGTCAACTAGTAAATCTGATATGTGGCCTAAACATCAAAAAACAACAGGCATGATCTAAGAGGGCTAAGGCCTGAAGGACTGATATCCCCCATATAGGGTAGGGAATCTCTCTTTCCTTCAAGAACTTTCCCCACAGACATTGTCCACGTTCACGGGATACCAACAGAGCTGGATCGCTTAATCAGGCTTCAAAATCTAAAACTGAGACCCAACTTTCTTCGAGGAGAAATTTCAGGTGATCTGCCACATTATTATAAACTCAAAAATCTTACACTAGATCAGAATTATCTCACATAACAAATTCCTCTCCTCCTGAACTAGTATATGACAAGTTATACTTTCCAGTTGCTTAATCAGCCTAATTTTTGGAATGTTGTAGACATAGCAACAATTGCAGCATCATATAACAAAATTCAAAAAAAAAAAAGACATGCAACATGACCGAATGATGTTGAGAGAAAACAAGAGAATGTACCATCAGACATGAGTGGTTATTAAGTTTTATGTACTCAATTGCCTACGCTCTTAAAAACATCCAGAAACTCTTACAGATAGATGCACACAACTTGTGGAGCCGTTCTCTAAGAAACTATCCCCATGCACCTATTTCGGGTATTTAAACTTACACTGGAAGAGATGTTAAAAATCAGAAAATATGTGACCATTGTCAGAGGTAAACAAGTTTAAATTGCAACAACAACCTTGATATATGTTTATTCTTCCTGTTTCTTTCTTCTGGACTAAAAATCACCAGAACTCAATAAAGAATACTATATCTGTGATCCAGACTAATCTGGAAAAGTATTTTTTATACAAGGCATAGCCTATTGATGTTTTTACAGTTGTGTAAAGCACCATAGGGACGATTTAACGATTCCAGAGTAGATATTGCTTCCACAACGCTAGCTTTGTCTGCTATGAACTGCTCGTCCTCTTTATCAAACCTGAAGTCACCAAAGAATTGGAGGAGCTTGGTTCTATTTGCGACAAGGACATTGACTATCTCAGGAGGCTTATTTGGATTAGAAGCAAAAAGCTTAAACAGATTAAATGCTTCTAACCGGATGTTCTTGCTCGACTCCCTGAGCAAATTCATCACCATCTTCATGTTTTCCAATGAGCTTACATATCTCACCATCACTGACCAATTTGCACTATTTATCAACAACTGCACTAACAACTTGGCAGCATGCCATCTAGTGATGTAATTAGAAGAACCCATCAACTTCGAATTGTACTCCCCAAAAAACCAGTCATAATTTCTTGAAAGAAACTCAGCAACAGTTGATCTATGCCTTGTCAATAGCTCTTTAAAGGTTGCTGCTGCATCTGATGCTATGCCAAAATTTGGTTCTTGTATATAATCAAACAACTTCCTCGTGTGCTGTGAATCCAGTATATACTTTGCAACGACTTGATGACGAATGCAGTCTCTCAAAATTGTTCCATAGCACAGAGCAAGATCAGGGTCTTCATAACCTTTCACCAAAGTGTCCAAAAGATCTAAATTTTGTTCCAAATAATCAGAGGCAATCAATGTTGCTCTTGATTTAATCTGCTGCTTTTGCAAATTCGCAAGCACGTGAACTGCATCCTGACGAGTCCCCAGGTCCAATTTAGTAAGACAAAAGACAAGAAGGCGAAACGTATCGTCTTTAAAGAACTCCTGGGTCAATCTCGCACAAGCTTCCGAAACGGGTTCTGAGTGATCAACGCCATAAAGAACCGTCTTCATCTCCATGATCAGTTTAGCCAATTCAGACAGCTTTTCTTGACGTTTTCTTTCGCGGGTCTCGGTGTTGCGATGAACGGAGATGAGGAGGTCTCGTACATGACGCACGAGCTCCTCCGGCGACTTCCTCCGAGGCTTCGATTTGAACAATAGCCCTTTCATGTCGTCGAACGTGATCGGTGCAATGCAGAAGGATACTCAAAATCTTGCCTTGGAAAAACTCCGATTGAGCACTCTCTGTTTCTTGTGGTTGAAACTTCCGAACAATTTAAGCCGGTGACTCTGGAAATTCTTGTCATAGTCTGGTGCAAAGGCTTCTCCTTATAGGGTAGCGTAGGCGGTAGTGTACGCGTAATAGTCTCCTTCATCAAATATTACACTACTGCGTGTGAGCCTAGCTAGTCTTCTAATAGAATTATAACACTACACTACTGGGTAGTGTGGTAAGGATAAAAGATAATGAGCAGATCATGACAACACTAAGTTGTTGGGACAATCTGTTGAGAAGTTTCCTATGAAATTCTTAGCAGGTATAGTTTGGAAGAAATTGGACTGAACTGGACTGGTATTACGAATTAGATTTCAACTGATCCAAAATTAAGCTTTTTTTGTAAAATCGGAGACTTCGATTGGTAAAACTTCATCCCGACCCCCATCAATTTGTCATATTTTACATTCTCTCAATTAGGGTTAATCATATTGTAAGTTCTCAAAGCATAAAGTTTGTCTCATTTTAATTTTTAATATTTTAATTGCATCATTTTAATTCTTAAAGTATTGAATATATTTCTATGTAATCCCTCAAATAGATAACATTCAGATTACTAACAATTTTTTATTATAAATTTATTATGTAATACTTAAATATGAGAAAAAAAATAATTAGATAACTCTTGACCAATTTTTTACCTAAATTTTAGTCAAGGAGCTACCCAAATTATACAATTTTAATCATGAGCTATTCAAATTTTTGTTAAGAGCTACCCAAATTATTTTATGTTCATATTTAACTATCACGTGACAAGTTTATGATAAATAACTGTTAGCAATTTGAATATTGATTGATTGATTGATGGACCACATAAAAACATATTCAATACTTCAAAGATTAAAATGATGTAATTAAAATATTAGAACCAAAATGAGGTAAATCTAAAACTTTAGAACTTTCAATGCAATTAACCCTCTCAATTATGTAAAAAGTGTTGCTGCGCTCATTTTTAATTTATATGTGTGCTTCACTTACACCATTTGTTGTTAGATTTATAAAAAATAAATATAGTAAGGGCATGAAAGTAAAAGTTCTACTTCCGTTCCTCTCATTAGGGCATGTTTTAATAAACTCATCTGATGGTCTTTGATGATATTCAGAATTATTCCCAAGCAGGAGCTCAGGAACAGAGGTTAAATATGGAGGTCAGGTATGCCGAGCTTAGAAAGTCAGAGTTATACAGAGCTCAAAAAATCAGAGTAGAGTTCCCTTCAAGCGAGATAATAAGCTGAAGCAATGAGAAGCAACTAGATACTACAAAGAACTCCACATGCGGTTTGAAGTAACACTCAAGACACAAAATCCTCAACCAACCAAGATACTCTCCTAAGATCAAGGAGAATTCCTCGGATAGATGGCGAGGATCACGGATCAGATCTCATAGATTAAGGGTCACCCCTATAAATACTATGTAACGCCCCCAATAAAGAGCAGAACCCTAGCATCACATCTTACATTCTGTAAATTTTTTAGTATAATAAATAGTGAAAGAAAGAGCAAGAATCTCCATTGAAGAGTGGATTAGCCAAGCTCCCGAGCTGGTGAACCACTATATTTTACTGTGTTAATTTCTCAACTCCCCAACAATTCTCAGTATCATTCCCTCAAGTTTAGTAGCTCAGATCCCAATAATTCTAACATTATTTCTTTCATCAACTCTTCATCACAAAATTGCATCATGTTAAAATACACCATCAGTTTGGCGCCGTCTGTGGGAAACCGTCCTATTATAAATAAACTGATCTTTCAGTGACTGATGGTATCAACACGAAACATGAACCGAAGTCAAACAAATTCGCCACAGGCGCAAGATCAATAAGAACTTGCCAATAGCAGACAACCCGAAAGCGTCTAGGAGACCAATCTCCCAGTAGGGGGGGTCTCCCCATGAATAACGAGATGAAGGCTCTTCGCCTCTCCAATTAACGCTTGCTGAAGCAAAACAAAGAACTTTTAAAGCTCTTACAACGCCTACATGTGGCACGACAGGCTCAAGAAGGCCAGAACAACCTCCCACCTAGGGAGCAACCACACCTCGACCCCCTCAGAGAAGTTAACGAAGAAGGAGAAAATAGCCAAACCATGGGGCCAGAACCTCGCATACCCCCCAAGAATGGCCACAATGACGAAAGACAGAGTCAGAACGAAGAAGGTGAGAGAAACGATTTTTTCCCCTATCAAAGGGAAATGAGAGAACAATACTAGGAGCATTGCTTCCAGGGTATCCAACAAGAGCTCAGCCACATGAAAGAAGTCGTGAGAGGCAGAGCTCCAATTACCATGGATGCCTTGGTACAGCAGACTGAATCCTCATTCACCACTGGGGTGCTGCATTTTTCCCTCCCTATAAAATTCAGAATACCGCAAATAGACGCTTTCGATGGAACAAAGGATCCCGTAGATCACCTCAATACCTACAAGAACCAGATGAAGGTGCATGGATACCAGGATCTAGTGCACTGCAGAGCTTTTGCCATCACGTTGAAGGGCTCAGCCCTAGCATGGTTCAATAGGCTCCCCCCAGCCTTGATATCCTCCTTTAAGAAGTTATCTATATCCTTTGTGTCTCACTTTATAGGAGCTCGAACGTACAGAAAGCTGAGTTACCACTTGATGAATGTGAAACATGGACCCCACGAGAACCTCAGATCCTATGTTCAAAGGTTCAACTCGGAATCGCTAAAAGTGGACGTCCTAGACGAGAAATTTGTCATTACTGCATTTATAGCTGGCTTGGGTGTCCAATCTATAGACTTGATGTTCTCCATCTCGAAAAACTCCCAAGCCAGCATGGCCGAAGTACTGGCCAAGGCAAAAAAATACATAAACGATGAAGAAGCTCTGCTCTCAAAATTGGGGAGCTCATCCATGCAAAAAGACAAAGGAAAAAAGGGAGAAAAAGAAGGACCGAAGTCCTAGAAGAGAAAGAGGACGAGATAGGTCCCCAAGAAGAGACATAGATCGCTCCCCCAAAAGAAGGAGAGACGTCAAAGATCGCCTAGGACCACCTCATCTGGAGTTGTAGCCGAGGTATGCACCTCGGCAGATTCCCCCACTCACCACAACAAAATCGCAAATCTTGTATGAAGTACAAAATAAAAATTTTTTGAGGTGGCCACCTCGGATGAAAGCGGACCCGACGAAAAGGGGCCTCTCAAAGTATTGTGAGTACCACATGGACCATGGTCATCATACTGATGACTGTATTCAGTTGAAGAAAGAGATAGAATTCCTGACCCAATAAGGGCAGTTGCGTCGTTACATAGCCCAGGAGAATCAAAATCGAGCCCACCACCTCCACCACCTTAGCAGCAGGCTCCTGCGCAGCACCAACAACCCCTAGGAGAGATCAGGGTAATATCAGGGGGTTTTACAGGAGGCGGGGAATCTAGTTCAGCCAGGAAAACCCGCCTACGCAGAATCAGAGCTGGTGAGGCTTTGGAGGTGTACGCTGTATCTAAGGCACCACGACTGAGCTCAGACATCACATTCTCAGATGCAGACTTGGAAGGATACCAACACCCCCCATGACGACCCGCTGGTGGTAAGGGCTGTTATGATTAATAGAACTGTTCACCGGATTCTAATAGATAACGGAAGCTCAGCAGATATCATATTTGCTTCCGCATTTGACAAGATGAGCATAGAAAGGGAAAAGCTAGAGCCCGTGAATGCTCACTTGTTGGGATTTGCGGGAGAACGGGTGTTGCCACTACGTTCAATCCAGCTTGTGCTCACTAGGGGAGACCCCCCTGCCAGGCAACCACTATAATAAGATTCCTAGTAGTTGATGCCCCCTCTATATACAACATGCTGTTCGGAAGACCTTTTCTCAATGCAATGAAGGCCATCCCTTCGCCCTATCATCTGGTCATGAAATTTCCTACGAAAAATGAAGTTGGAGTGGTCCGAGGAGATCAACGGGTTGCAAGGGAATGTTACTTGACTTCGATGAAGCAGAAAGAAGTTGAAAGCATACAACCAGATAAGCTGGACATGAGGGACGAACTGGGCACTAGGCTAACGCCAACGGAAGAACTAGAGCCAATTCAGCTTGATGAAGAGCCAGAACATCTTGTCTACATTGGGACTAAACTAAGTAGAGAGGTTAAGGACCTTCTCATCCTGTTCTTAAAGGAGAATATGGGGGTGTTCGCTTGGAAACAAGAAGACATGGAAGGCATTGACCCCTCGGTTATTATTCACAAGTTGAGTGTGAATCCTACCTGCAAGCCTGTCAAGCAGAAATGAAGGAGTTTTGCCCCAGAGCTTCAGAAAGCAATCAATGAAGAGGTCGGCAAGCTTCTTCACGCCAGAGCTATTAAGGAAGTAGATTACCCTACCTGGTTGGCCAACGTGGTTCTTGTCAGGAAAACCAACGGCAAATGGCGACTCTGCATAGACTTTACTGATCTCAACCGAGCATGCCCTAAGGATAGTTTTCATTTATCCTAGATTGATTTAATAGTACATGTCACTACTGGGCACGAACTCCTCAGTTTTATAGATGCTTTCTCAGGTTATAATCAGATCAGGATGGATCCAATCGACCAGGAGAATACCTCTTTCGTAACTGAGTAGGGGACTTACTGCTATCAGGTTATGCCTTTTGGGTTGAAGAATGCGGGAGCTACTTACCAGCGTCTGGTGAACTGAATATTCCAAAGGCAAATTGGAACATCCATGGAGGTCTATATCGATGACATGCTGGTGAAGTCACTGAAGGCAGAGTTTCACATTGCACACCTAGCAGAATCATTTCAGGTCCTTAAGGAATACAAGATGAAGCTAAACCCTGCCAAATGTGCCTTTGGAGTATTTACGAAAAAAATTTTGGGTTTCATAGTAAACAGTAGAGGGATAGAGGCTAACCTCGAAAAAGTTAAGACAG